GGGGGAGGGCTCCTTCCTTGCCTCAGGCCCGCCTCCCACATGGCCCCTGGCAGTGGGGGCCCGGCTCAGCCTCCTCCTTGGTTTGGCTCCTGCAGCTTGTACGAGAACAACATCGGGGACGCGGGGGCGGAGCGCGTGGCCAAGGTGCTGCCCCAGATGTGTGCCTTGCAGGTGCTGGAGTAAGTGTGCCAGGGACTGTGGCTGGGGGGGGGGGCGCAGGAGGGAGTCAAAGCAGACCTTTTTTTCGCACAGGACTGGAACCCCCAATCTTCATGCAGGCTCCCCTTATAGCTCCTGCAGCCACCTCGGCTGCTTGGATGTTCCATGGGGTGGGAAAGAGGAGGGGCCCTCCCCACCCAGCACTCGAGGGGCTCAGCCGCAGGGCCCACCGGGCTCTTGGGGAACCCCTCCCCCAAGCCCCCAATACCAGGAGAGGCCTGGTAGAGCCAGAAGGGGGGGCGAAAGACTCCGGCCATGCTCAGCCCTTGGCCCTCGGCCTCCAGGGGTTTCTGGCAAAGGGGGTGCCTGTAATTCTGCCTCTTTTGCCCCCCACCCCCCACCCCAGCCTGCAGTACAACCAGATTTCTGCCGCCGGAGCCCGGTGTCTGACGGAGCGCCTGAGAAGATGCCCCCGCATCCAGAGCTTGGCGTAAGTTTGGGCTTCCGGGATCGAAGCCCTTTTCCTGGAACACCCCAAGGGCCCCTCTGAACTGCACTGGATGCAGCAGGGGTTGCTTTGGAGGAGGTTCTGGGCAGGACAGCCTGGGGGGTCCACCAGGACTCCAAATTCCTGGCCAGCTGCAGGGTGGGAGCCCCCTCACCCCGGGGGGGGGGAGTCGCCCCACCCCCAAGTGGCAGCCGCTGGTGGCATTTTTGGGAGGGAGGCCCCCTTATTCCAGTTGCCTTTCATTTCTTGCTTTCTCAAAACTTTCAGGCTGTGGAACCCCACAATCCCTCACGGGGTTCTGGATCACCTGCAGCAGCTGGATTCTCGGATCAGAAGGGTTTAGGGGCAGCCCCTGGCCGGTCGGTTCGGATTCTGTGGTGGTGGTGAGTGTTTCCCAGCGACCGACCGGTAGGAGCTTCCACCATTCTACACTCAGCCTATGAAATGCTCCTCACTGTGGAGGAGAGGCCGAATTACAGTCTTCCCACTCTCACAATGCCGTGTGTGTGTGTGTGTGTGTGTGTGTGTGTGTGTGTGTGGTGAGGCTCCGTTGACTCCCCCGGCCCATAAATCATAAAGAGCCATTTATCTCTGTGGGCCCTTTGGACCCCCAGCTATCCAAACCCTTCCAGGTGCCCTATGACAAAAATCTCTGTCAATCAATGCCATCCATATAGCTAATTACTAAAACACTTTGCATTATGGGTGCCCCCCCCCCCCCCCCCCCCCCCCCCCCCCCCCCCCCCCCCC